AGCAATATGCAACGTGTTCAAAAAGACTAAATTAGCGGTCATCTGGCGAACCACCTTCATTATGGTACGTATATTGTATTTTTTCAACCAAACAAAACAGAATTTCATCATGTGTTAAACTATTAGGCGATCTGTTTTTTCCGTCACGAAGAAAGACAAGACAGCAATGTAACGCATGTTCATAGAGACTAAATAGGCGGTCTTCTGGCGAATCACCTTTATTTGAAATAAACACAGAGACAACAAAACGTACCGTTTGTTCATAAAGACTGTAGGCGGTAATCTGGAGAACCACCTTCATATGTACAGCAACATGTATCATGTGTTCATGAAGACTAAAAAGGCGGTCATCTGGCGAACCACCTATATTTATGATATATTTTTGTCAGGAAAAAAACAGAGCACAAAATTCACCGTGTGTTCGTCAAGACTAGGCGATCATCTGGCGAAACACCTGAATTTCGTTCTTTCCTTTGTCCAAAAAATAAACATAGACAGCAAAAAATGCACGATGTGTTCACCAAGACTTGTGGTTGGTTTCGAACCCAAAAATCCGCGAGGGCTTCGAAATGAAGTGCAGCGTCACGCCTGTGTGGAGCTCGGAAACCCAAGGGAAAGTGACGGAAGACGGAAAGAGTCCACCCACCTTTGTGTGTGTGTCTTCATTATTAGCATCGACCGCGCTAGCCGGCTGACCAAAGAAAAGACGTCAGTCTCAGCGCGGTTGAAAACACCAAACGCTTCAAAATGCCATTAACTGGGCGGGTGCGCGTGTAGAGTCCTTCCCCTTTGTAGTCACTAAAAAAAGAGCGACCTTCGAGTGCAAATCTATCGCAACACGGGAGTCAAAATCGGTGTCTCTCCGGTCGAAAGGGAGATTCAAGCATGCCAAGAAAGGTTTCCAATGCTCGACAGGGAGGGGCGGAGGAAGAAACTTCGTCATAATCGGTCTCGCTATTACCCTACTCGATAGATTGTGGGGGGACGCTTCCAGCACAACCCGCAAGGGTCTCACTATTACGCCCCACACCCACCTGCACCAGGGACCTGTTGCGCTCTTGCAGCTCCCGGATGTCCTGGAATGTCACCAAGTGGTCGGAGATCACCTGAAAACGTGTAGCGATATTTCACCGGCGTTCGTGCATTAATAAATAATCTTGACTTATATCGCTACTTCCTTTGGTTTCTTGTCCCACAACAGACACAACAACAATCACACCGGTGTTGGGTTAGGATGGGTCCCCGAATAAGGCGGTCGCCCAACATAAGGTGGGTGAAATTGGATGGCATAAATTAGAAGGAATAATCAAGTTGTTCTACACATTGAACAAGAAGGCTGCCCCACCCCCCACCAAGGCCCTATTCGGGGACCCCCACTGTATTCAAATAGTTTACTCCGTACTTAGTGGAAGTACTTGGCATTCTTCTACTTCTTTGGTTTTTCGGCCTACAAAAAACACAACATCACCACCTACCAATAACAACAAATAAATCTACTTTGGATTTGTTGCTTCTTTGTTTTTTGCCCTACAACAAATACAACAATAAAAAATACTTGCCTGGCTCGCTACAGTACTTCTTTGTTTTTTGTCCTACAACCACTACAACCACAGCAGCAGCAACAGCAGCAACAACAGCAGCAACAGCAACAACAGCAACAGAACAACAACAATAGCAACAGTAGCAGCAGCAGCAGCAGCAGCAGCAGCAGCAGACCTGATCGAGATCCTGCGGGACGACGTTCCCTCCCTTGGAAACCCCACCGTCACCGCCGCCGCCGTTGCGCTCGACGGGGCGGCCGAGATCCCGCTCGAGCTTGTCCTTG